AATTACAAAATAAAATCCACAAGTACCATAAATCAGAAGGCAGCAGGCCAGATCCTGATAGACTTATGTAAATAGTTTCATTGACTTAGAAGTAGTACAGTAAAACTCTGATGGTCCGGCACTCCTGATGGTCCGGCACTCCTGATGGTCCGGCACTCCTGATGGTCCGGCACTCCTGATGGTCCGGCACCATCAGGAACCCGGAAATGCTCCGGGCAGCCGGACCATTGGAGCTGCTCTGCCCCCAGTTTCCCCGATTCAGCCGCTGCTAAAACTGACCAGCGCTGAATCAGCTAGTCAGTCTGGGGGACAGCTGGAGTGCTGCTGGGTTGGTCCCGCAGCAGCCCCGAAGGGCAGCGCTACGGGACCTACCTGGCAGCACTCCAGCTGCTCTGCCCCCGGCTTCCTCAATTCAGCCGCTGGTCAGTTTTACGGGGAAGCTGGGGGCAGAGCAGCTCCAATGGTCCAGCTGCCCAGAGCACTTCCGGGTTCCTGATGGTGCCGGACCATCAGGAGTGCCGGACCATCAGGAGTGCCGGACCATCAGAGTTTTACTGTACTACTTCTAAGTCAATGAAACTATTTACATAAGTCTATCAGGATCTGGCCTGCTGCCTTCTGATTTATGGTACTTGTGGATTTTATTTTGTAATTTGCAGTGTGCTTTCTTACATCGCAAAGCATCTTGACATTTGCCAAAGGAAATCTGTATGTTGGCTATCACTATTAATAGCATTATATAAAGAGCAATTTAACACCTTCTTGGGGAAGGATAAGCTAACTTGAGTGCAGTAGTTAACAGAGTAGAGTGGTTGCTTTATAACCTTCACATTTTTCTATCTTGTATATGGAAAATCAGTTTCCTGTGATCAAATACACAAAATTTTAACTCATTCACGAGTATCTCAACTGAAGCCCATATACAGAATGGCCAAAATCTGATCTCATTTACTACATGTAAATGTACTGTAACTTCATTGACATAATCCAGATTTATATCTATGCGAGTAACAGCAGAATTTGTCCTTCAAGGTCTTATATTTTTGTCATACTTTGAAAAAAAAAATTAAGGAGTGGGGGATTAGCAGATAAAATATATTTGTAAATTTTAAGGAAAATATGTTAACTACAGGCAGTCCCCGGGTTACGTACAAGAGAGGGACTGTAGGTTTGTTCTTAAGTTGAATTTGTATGTAAGTTGGAACTGGTACATATTGTAGGGGAAACTCTAGCCAAACATTTCTCCAGAGCTCAGTTTTATTCTCCCACACCTCACTTCCCGCAGTCCTTTATTCTCAAGCTGAGGTATCTGCTGAGAAAAGCCGCTCCGCGTCTCCCTGGTCTGCTGGGGGAGGGGTCGCGTCTCCCTGGTCTGCTGGGGGGGAAGCTAGTGCGGGGTTGCCTCACCCCGTTTGTAAGTAGGGATCTGATGTAAGTCGGATCCATGTAACCCGGGGACTGCCTGTATTTCATACAAATGTGAATTAATGGAACTCTGGCATTTTTTTCCACTGTGGAAAATGAAGATTCTATTGAGGCCTATTATCTGAGCTTCCAAAAAGGCCCAAAGTTGGATGATCGAAGATTTGTGTTCAATTATTCATTTGTTTTCAATTTCTGAAGGTCAAAGTACTGAGTGGCATGGGGAAGAATGTGGCTATCATTAAAAATTTAGCTACTTTTTGTAGTCCAATTAAACTCCTAGATAATAGCAGATAAAAACAACTGCGTGATTGCTTGTCTGACAGAACACTGATTTATTGGGACTGAGCCTTGGCTTCTATGGATCTACACCTGGGATGAAATTACCTGTCAATGTTCTCTTCCATTTTGAAAAGAATTTGACAGCATGGGTGAAGGGAGAAAGAGGAAGAAGGAAAGAAAAAAAAGCAAGATGTGATAAGGTCCTTAGAGGTGGATTTTTTTCAGTGACATAATACACAGAGTCCGAGGATCCATTCTAGTGGACCACAAATTGAATGTGAATCAACAGGTTGCTGCACTTGTGGAAAATGCTAATATTCTGGGGTGTATTAACATGTGCATAAGATATAAGACATAGGAGGTGATTGTTCCATTCTATTAGGCACTGGTGAAGTCTCAGATGGAGAACTCTCTCTGGTTCTGGGCACTACACTTTAGGAAAGATGTGGACAAATTGAAGAGTCCAGAAGAGAGCAACAAAACACGATAAAAGGTTTAGAAACCCTAATCTGTAAGGAAATAAAAGTTAAACAAATGGGGCATATTTGGTCTTGGGAAAAGAAGACTGAGGCAGAGGGCCTGAAAGTTCTTCAAATGTGGAATGGGCTGTCTATAAATAGGAATGTTTTGAAAATACTGAAGGGAGGACAAGAAGTAATGGGCTTTAACTAAAGCAATGGGGATTCAGTGTAGATATGAGGAAAAAAATTCTCACTCTAAAGGTAGCTACGTTCTGGAACAGGCTTCTGAGCTAAGTTGTGGAGTCTCTGTCATTGGAAATTTTTAAGAACAGGTTGGCTCCATCAAGGATGGCCTAGCTTTCTTGCTTCTACCTCAGCAAAGCGAGGCTGGGTCTGATGGCTTCTCAAGCCTTTTCCAGCCCAAATTTCTTTGATAAGTCTCATTCCATGCGAAACTTCCCTGAATGTTTGTCAGTTTATGGTAGAGGAATTGTCACAGGAATTGTTCTACACTTTATGGGCCTGCTCTTGGGTCCTTTGTAATCAACAGGAGTTTTGCCATTGACTTAAATGGAAACTGGATCTCCTATGACCCATAAACAGCCTGACGTGGGGCTGATGTGCCCCATCTCTACTTGTCCACTCCCATCTCTACTTGCTCACTCGCCCTCTACAGTCACCTGAAGCGAGGCACCCGGCGCTCTGGCAGCGATTTAAAGGGCCAGGAGCTCTCCCCGCTGTTGCCTGTACTGTAGCAGCGGCAGTGGCTGGGACCCTCAGGCCCTTTTGAATTGCTGGGCCATAGGGCAATTGCTCCCTTTGCCCCCCCGACATCGTCAATGGGCCTGAGTGTACAAATTGCAAATTATTAAGGACCAATTAGTTTTTATAGCCCTAAGATTGTTATTAAATTAAGGCCCTGTTTTTAATTCCCATTGAAGTCAAATACTCCCAGTGATTTCAGGTACAGCAGATCAAGCCAAATACATTTGCACATCTACTCCTTCGTCTCTTTTTTTTGTCTTTTCCTCCATCTTTTGTTTGGTTACTCCTTATCTTTTCCTTTCTGTTCATTTTATAGTTTACTTTTAGGCTACGTCTACACTGGCAGCTTCTTGCACAAGAACAACTGTCCTTCCGCAAAAACTTGCCTGCTGTCTACACTGCATGAGAGTTCTTCCAGAAGTAAATTTACAATACAGTGTTGGAAAACAGGGCTTCTTCCGGAAGAGTTATTCCTCTCCCCACGAGGAATATGCCCTCTTGCGCAAGAGCTCTTCCAGAAGAGGCCAGTGGAGACAGGCAGCATGAATTTCTTGGGCAAGAAGCCCTTATGGCTAAAATGGCCATCAGAGCTTTCTTGCACAAGAGAGCATCTACACTGGTATGGATGCTCTTGAGCAAAAGCACATTTCTTGAGCAAAAGCACATGCCAGAGTAGACACTCTTTTCTGGAAGAGTTTTTGCACAAGAAGCTGCCAATGTAGACATAGCCTTAGTCTTTACATATTTTCACTGGACGTCATAGCTCTTTTGTACCAGATGTACCTTTCACTACTCTGGGACTGTGTCTACTGAAATTTGAGATACGTATTCATATTTCTAAAAAGCTTTCAAAGATACTTGAACAAAAACACACTTCCCTGTGGCATCTGTGAAGAAAGAGCAAAGACAGTTACAAATGAGGGTTTCTCCTTTAATTTTGGACAAGAGAACTGTGAGAGACCCAGGGCAGCTGGCTACAATAGTTTGGTGGAGGGCAGACATATCGGGAGCTGGGAGAATGGCTTTCTGTTTCCTGAATAAATTGCCAGTCATGTAATCAAGGAAGGCAGGCACCTGAGTCTAGTTAAGAAATTGCCTGAAGCAGAAAGCTAATCAGGTACCTGCAGCCAATTAAGGCCTGCTGGGCTATTTTAAAAGTTTCCCCTCTGGTAAGGGAGGGGGAAGGAAAAGAGTGAAGGACTGAGAGGAGGAAGTGTGTTGCTAGAAAGTTGGGGACTGCAGAAAGGAAAGAGTATTTGGGCGAAAGCAGGAAAGGTTTTCTCAGGTACCAGGGAGAAGATACTAGGGAAGCATTTTGGGGAGTGGCCTTGGGAAAAGGCTGCTGTATTGGGGGTAGGGGAAAAACCCCTGAGAGGTGCCGCTACCTAGGGTCCCTGGGCTGGAACCCAGAGTAGTGGATGGGCCTGGGTTCCCCCAACCCACCCCAGACCACTAAAGAAACATCTGTTCCTGGAACAGAGGCCAGGATTAAGTAGGGGTCTCCCCCCCCCAATCTTTTGACTTTGCCAGTGATGAGGATGGCTCAGTAAGCTGTGACCCTGGCCTCTACAATACCATTTCCCACTCAGAGCGTAAGCCAGCATTCATTGCACTCTCCTTACTCCCGCTGGCTTGACTGGGGAAACTGAGTGCAGGTGCAGACAAGTAGAGATCAATATTCTTTGTTACTATTGTTATTTGTTCTACTATCACAGCTACCATTCCCAGTTGTAGACCAGCACCCCATCATGTGAGGTGCAGTACAAACACACAATCCAAGTATAGACAAGAGACAACACATGAAAACAATGGGACAATTTTGGTCACCTGGACTGTTAGATATTTGTATTTTCAACAAGCATTTACCTGCCAGTCTCCATATAAGTTATCCCAATTTATATTTTACAATGGGGGGTGTGTGTCTCTGATAGCTAAAAGTTCTGCGGATAATGACAAGCCTCATTATGCTCCCCACACGTTCCTTCATCCTTGTTTTGATGATTCCTGTCATCATTTTGCACTAAAGTTTCCCCCCATTTTTTTATACTTCTCATGTTTTCTTTTTTGCAGCCCATGAGCTCCCCGAAATGGCAGAGGAATGATCTGCACGGTTAATTTGGAAAGATTGATAGTGCACAGGTTTGCTGTCATCAGATGTCTCATTGTCCAAAGAGGGTGAGTTACAATAAATTGAGACTTGATGTTTGACAAGGGACAGGCTCAAATGTAAGCTACTTAAGATAAACAACTCGGGTAAGGAGGTAAAATGACATAGATGGATAAGGAGGCTTAGGGTTGTACTAACCTTTTGTTCTATCATCATGCTGTAATGGACCGGGCCAGGTCTGGGCACTGCTGAGGGTGTCCGCTCAGGGCAAATTGCTCAAAACCAGGGCTCCTTACAGCCCCAGCCTGGAAACCTTTTCCAAATAGGCCACAAACGAGTCACACCAAGCACTTCAGCTGCCAATCCGGCCAGCAGGAAGCCTCATGAGCAAAACCCCTCAGAAAATAAGCCACAAACAAGTCACACCGAGCACTTCAGCTGCCAATCCGGCCAGCAGGAAGCCTCATGAGCAAAACCCCTCAGATGCCCCTGTTCTCCCTGTCCCCCAATCAGCCTGGGCCTAACACACAGGTGAGGGGTTATAGAACCCAATCTCACCTACCCCGAATGGGTTCTCCCAGTCCCAAAAGACCAGCCACAGTTCCCAGTCAATTTACACTTTGGCTCTTACCCACAAGATCACACTACGCCAATCCTTTAGAATCTAAAATCTAAAGGTTTATTAATAAAAAGAAAGAAAAGGTTGAGAGTAAGGTTGTTAAAGAAAATACATTACATGCACCAGTCACCAAGTTCTTGATGCAGGCTCTCAGCAGAGATGTTACAAACTGCTATGTTACAAACAGTCTCTGGTGTACATCCTATGTCAGGATGGGTCGACAATCCTTCCTGGCTCGCTGTCCCTCGCAAGGCTGCATCTGGGATCAGTGACAGAATTGAAGACAAGATGGAGACCATCACATGGTCTTTTATATCTATTCCTGGTGTCTCCCACGTGGAGCAGGTCACATGGTCATGTGACCTATTCCTGTGTTCCAAGTCAGGAGCCATGGTATTGGCTGGTTTGCAGGTTTCCAGCTGCACTCCTCAGGTGTGTATCGGGCACCTTGAGAGCCATTGTTCCTGGAGCCTCGCTAATTAGCATAGTCATTGACTGAGAACAATTGTTCTTTACCACAGGCAGTCCAGAGACCATTGCTCTGTCTCAGGCAGAGAACATTCCCAGTTCCCAGAATAAGCACAGAGTCCTTATTCATAACTCCACACACAGACCTCATGCAAGCCCGTGAATAGCACACATAGAATCCGCAGAACATAAGCTTTCATTTGAAACCTCACATGACCCCCTTTGTACAGAATTTAGGGCAAACACCCCCACCCCTTAGGTGCAGCAGTGATCTGGCTGCTCCCATTAAAATCCAGTAACGTGACACATGCTTTAAACGTGCATAAGGAAAAATGGCTGAGCATCAGTTGAGAACATGAGATTGCTGTAGTTTGAGTTGTGAAAATATGTATATGACAGGGCCAGCCTTAAATCTTGTGGGGATCTCTACACGGTAACCTTCGCAGGGTCCCATCCAGCTCTTTATCCTCCATGTCCAGTTGCCCATTCCCCTAGGTACCCAAGACACCACTGTCTTTACAATGGCAGGTCTGCAACATGCCCCCCTTCATCTGCCTGGGAAGCCTTACTCCGTCTGGTGGCCGGCCTGCATGGAACAAGACGCCAAAGCACAGCCTGCCTGTGGCTGAGCAGGTGTGCAGTCAGAGCAGCCACACTTCACCCTCTCCCACTACTGCTGGAGCGGGCTCAGACATTGAACAGAGAAGCCATTGTGCCATTCTAGGTAGCAACTGAATTGGGGGACTCCTGATTGAGCTCTGCTTCCCCCTCAGCTCCTGCCACTGCGTGTGGGGGAGGGGAAGGGGGGGAGACAGGGAAGCCTGACCACTGCTGTTGCCTTGTGTCAGGCCCCCTATCTCGGTAATTGCTGAGGAGGTTGCCTCAGGGACTGGGTTGCCATGGGGGGAGAAGGCAGGGCAGTGTTGGGAAGGGGCAGGGCTTGCGGAACAGGAATGGACAGCCCCCACTCTCATCCCACCGGGAGTCCTGGGCCAGACTGAGTAATTTCTCCATCTGAGGATGGCCCGCGGACCAGGAGTATGAGACCCCAGTTCTAAATGCTGACACACATCGATGGCTCAGTGCAAAAGAGCTACAGTTCGAAACCAGACTTCATACAGTATCAGGGAACGAAATTGGCGCCTTGGGAAGGAAGAGTTTCAACTTGGAAGTGAACTCTATAGCGCTGACCAGAAACACGGCATAGAGCTCAAAATGCTACTGGGTTACTGGATGGTTTTCCTTATGTCGTACAATTGTTTTAGGATTAATGAAAAGTAGAAAAAAATCAATACAAATATTTGTTTATTTTTACATTGTTCATTTCAAATCTCAATTAAATAAAGGTAAAATTCCATTCTAAACTTCTCATTTTTCTCGCTGTTGAATGTGGGAAGAGGGAGCAGCAAAACCTCTTGGTGCAACCCTGCTCTGCGGACATGGACTAAAAGACACCTCCTTTGCTTTAATATAGTCCTGTTTAAGAAGCCTGTATAAGTGAAAACGTAAGTACCTTTTAGATGGTGCTTGCACAATCCACACGCAGGGGTTACAACATAGCACTTGTGGCTGCCAAACTGTGGCATAGTGTAGACAGAGCCTCAATTTCCTAAATGCTGAAGTAATTTTTGAAAATGAAAGTAGTCTCCTAAATCACTTGGGTGTTTTCGAAACCTTTGCCCCAGAATTCTTCTTTTCCTTTCCAAAAGAGGAACAACCATCTTGTGGTGTGGGTTCAGGAAATCTATTTTCCTGATACAGCAACTGGTGGACTTGCACTCAGGTGCTGGAAATCGTTTTGACCAGCTCTCTCTCCTTAAAAGGCGTCTGCGGGGGTCACTTTTCTTTGAGAGGCAAAAACCAGCCATAGAAGGTGGTGAGCTTTTTTAATATCTGCTGCAAAAAATTGTAACACAGTGAATATTTTGTTCTCTATGCCTCAATTTAATACCTTTGCTTACATTATAACTTGGATGGAAATGTCACATGCTTTTTATCTTTCTGGATTCATAGAAGCTGGACAGTCTGAGATCCAGAAGTTAAAAAACAAAAAAATCTAGAAATAAGAATTGTCATGCTTTCTTCAGAAAGTTATGAAGAAGTTTAAAGAGGGGGAAAGAAAAACAAAACAATGAAATGTTTATTATATAAGGTGGGACAATCTGAAAGCGTAAACTTCAGAAATGAGTCGAATAATGCATACGTCCAGTGATTTACATTTACAAAAAAAAGCCTTTATCTTACTGCAATATTGACATTCATGTAATATTTTCCTTTTCCTACAGGGCAACGTCACAGTGAGCTGATACCAGTGTGATAAGATAAATGCAACCTTTACATGTTAGCCGCCTTTGTAATATGTTTTTTATGAGAGGGAAATTCAGATTTAAAAGGAAGTTTATTTTATATTTTAGCTATTACAAAGGGGGAAAAAAAGCCCAAGGGATGAAAAGAAAAATATTTTGGAAAATTGGAGTTTGTGAGAGCAAGTGGGTTTAAATAGAGGTTTTTCATTCCAATAGCAAAAATGGAAAAATATTTCTATTGGAAAAGATCTCAGACACACATCTTGGTTTCAGTTAGTGAATTGTAAATACCGAACATTCCTGTGTTGGTATCATATTTAATTAATTTTTTCCCCAATCGTGCAAACATTTAAGTATGTGCTTGGCTTTATTCATGCCAGTTGTTTCACTGAATTCATAAGGAAAGCTGTGTGAGATGCAGAACGTATATGAAAAGAGGTGTTGTCCTCTCTGACATTTGCCTAATTTTCAGTGAAAAGCATGGAAAGAATCACATCTCGAACCTTTGTATGGCCACAGCTGTGTTATATAAAATAGTACCAGAAAATGACTGCAATAAACAAAAAACCCTTTCTCACAAATTAAGAATAACTTTTACAGTGAAGGAAAACGGCATCCTGGGAAACAGACGTTTTAACTTTGATATCTGTGTTCTGCCTTTGTGATGTCTAGCTTCTGCTTCAACAGGAAGACATTTAATCAATTTATGGTAAAAACAAAGAAACCAATCAGTGACTTCCAGAAAAAGAAAACGCAAGGACCGATTAGAATGTTTCTTTTTCAAGACAAAGAGACAAAAATGCCTTATGTGGGCTTTCTTGCGCAAGTTTGTCTGTGTGGATCTTATGCATATCTTATTAGTGAACGGCATGTTTACCAGTCCATAGTATCACTACTTTCCCAGTCCAAAACTGATAAGAAATATCTAGTTCAGTGGAATTCTGCTTTTGTGTAAATTGCTTTGATCTTCCTGGATCGTATTTAAGAAAATTTCAGTCCGTTTTCAGGGAATGGAGAAATAAGAAGCTTCATTAGGAGAAAAAACCCACTTGTTTAGAATTTTTGAACACATGAATATTTGCCATTTTATTTTTTCACATTAGGAAACTGCGTTCCCCACTTCAGAAGAAGGCATCCAAATGAGGCTATTTCCCTTTAGGTTTTGATCAGGATGGAAGAAATAGTTGCTTTAGTTGTGTACGTCTATACTGCACCCATACCTCAACATAAGCTACACATGCAATTTGAGCTATGCAAATTGCATAGCTTATTTCGAGTCAATTTTGAAATGGCATATTTAGAAATTTGGCGCTGCCTACATAGCAGTTATTTCGAACTAGAGCACTATTCCAAAACATCCCTTACTCCTCAGGGAATGAGGTTTACAGGGACGTCAGAATAGCAAGCCCGTTACATTTCGAAATAACAAGCGCACTCAAAAGACACGGAATAGCTATTTTGGGGTACCTCCGGTATCCCGAAAACGTGCTGCAGTGTAGATGTAGCTTTTATTTGTATGATGAAAGCTATCGTTGCTGGCAGTAGGATGATTTTGGAAGTACAGCATGCATGGACCTTCACCCACAGCTCTACAGATGAGCCGTCCCAGCTAATCTCAGGCATGTCATCTGTTCAGTCATGTGTGCCAAGATGTTCAAAGGGGACTAGTAATTTGGGGTGTCTTTGTTGCGTGTGTGAAGTGTGCTGAATTACTGGGCTCCTTTAAAGTGTTTACCAGCCCGTGATTTGCAGGTGCATTGTGCACATTGCAGCAGCAGGCCCCAAAGGTTACAGTTCTATCAGGTAATGCAAAAAGGAATCATCTTGGTTAGCTTTTATAGCAATGGGTCCCTGACTGAGCCAGGAGTTGCCCCGTAGCGCCTCCTGCTGGCTGAGTATGGAGCAGTAGGCACTCCCTGCTTTAGTTTCTGCTCACCCAGGTTGTGTGTCTCTCAGAGAGTCCCATGTCTCAGTCATCCAGCCAGAGCTGGTTTTCCAGTGAGGCATAGTAGGCATGTGCCTAAGGATACCAGTTTTCTAGGGAAACCTAAATGTTAAAAGTGGGTTAATTAAAAGTTTCACTTTTTAACAGAAAACACAAAGGTCATCAGGAAATTCCTCTGGACAGGTCTTCTCCTTTAGGCTTGAGAATTTCTGATGACAGGGATTTCTTGGTGGTTGTTGCTTTTTGTCCTTGATGGTGATTGTTGTTTATCTGAGGTAATGTTTCTCATGAATTCACTCAAAAGTTTGTTTCCTGCCCAGCCAAGTGATCTGTTTTGACATTTGTGACTTTACTTAGTAGCTTGCAGTTTAGAGGTGGTGTTTCTCTTTCTGGAGACTGAGCCCTTGTGGGTGTGTACCATGTCTTGGCTTTCTCATAGAGCATCAACAACATGGCAGGGTCATCATTTCCACACTGCATTTTGTAAATAAAAATAGGCTCCATACAAGGTTCCCCATAATGTGCGCACCTGTGCAGACACGCACCAAGACTCGGAGGCCTGCCCACCTCTGCAATAGAGCCGCACAGTGCGGGCTTAGCTGCTCCAGGGCAGGGCCACATGGCGGGTGGCTGCCCCCCCCCGAGAGCAGCAGGGCAGCCTCCACGCAACCCTGGCTCTAGCTTCAGCCACAACTGGAGCTGTAGGCCACATGGTGGGCAGTGACTGTTGCAGCAGTCCTGCCTGGGGCCAAAACCGGAGGATGTATTGCAGGTGGCCCACAGCTGCTTGGGTGGCCCACAGCTGCTCTGGCGGTCCCAACCAGGGCCAGAACCAAAGCATTCATCATGGCTATGCCAGTGGCCCCAGCGAGCATGTGTCATGGGCAGGGTGGGGCTGTGTGGTGGGGGGCCGGGCTGCTCCTGGGACCAGGAACAACTATACTGCAGCCCCAGAAGCCACCCATCATACAGCCCAACCCAGAAGCAGGTGCCTGGCTAGAATTGGGGCCAGAGCCACATGGTGGGTACTCAGCTGCTCCTGGGGCAGGCCTTGTGGCAGCTGCCAGAGCTGGAGCCACAGGCAGGGGGGCGCTGCTCCTGGGTTTGGGGTGTGGGGCCCGGGTGTGGAGCAGCCGGTGGAGGAGTCGCATTCTCCCCATGCCCCAGGTGTTGGTGGTAGCAGGAGATTGGCCCACACTGATCAAGGCGAACAAGGCTGAGAGCCAGCAGAGCCCTGCAGAGCATGGTAGGGAGGCAACCCAGCTCAACTTGTTTTCAATTTCCACACATCAGTGGAGTATGCTACAATTACGCCTGGAGTAGGGAAATGACAGTCAAAGAAATGTGTGACTCCAGGTGGTTTGCTTGTGCAGATGCTGTTTTGACTTTGAAAATGAGCTATGATGTTATCAAGAGAACCTTATTAGACATAGCCACATCAAATCTGAAAAACCATGTGCAAAAACTGAAGCAAAATCCTTAGCAGAAAAATTTGAAAAGTCTGATAATGCTGTTTTTACTATTTTGTTGAATCATTTACTTCAAAATACTAATGATGTCAGCAAAAAGTTGATACAAATTCATTGAATGTTCCACAACTGTTAGCTTCATTTACAAGTTTTGTCATGGAAGTTCAAAATGATTATAGATCCATGAAAGCAGAGGCACTAACATTAACAGAAGATATAGGTTCCTCTGATATATCTGATGAGAAGCATGGGGAAAAAAGGAAGTTATTTTTCGATTAAACTAGAGACAATAAAATAATTTAAAAGGGAAATTAATTTAAAAGCGAAAGAGAAGATCATTATTGAGACCATCAGTGTTATTTGTGACACAATAATAGTGGAATTGCAGAGTAAAGGTGAATCTCTAAAGAAAAAACTGTTGCTTTATTTTGCATGAATTTGACAGAAATATGGATAAAGACACTAAAAACCACTGTAGTAAGAAATTAAATGAATTCTACCAAAAGGACATAGACACAAATCATTTTCAAGTTGAACATTATTGAGACCATCAGTGTTATTTGTGACACAATAATAGTGGAATTGCAGAGTAAAGGTGAATCTCTAAAGAAAAAACTGTTGCTTTATTTTGCATGAATTTGACAGAAATATGGATAAAGACACTAAAAACCACTGTAGTAAGAAATTAAATGAATTCTACCAAAAGGACATAGACACAAATCATTTTCAAGTTGAAGTGAAAAGTTTCATTCATTTTATAGAAAATTATGTGCTCTGTGCTGTGAGATCACCAGTTGATTTGTATAGACTTGTACATGATGGTTTGCAGGCAACCTTTCAAAATGTAGAAACCATTCCGAAAATATTTAACAATACCTGTCACAAAGGCTTCTGGTGATCGTTGTTTTTCGGTATTGAAATGAGTTAAATTATTTGTGAAATGCAATGCTTCAGGAACATTTGACAAGTTCAGCAATATTGACAATTGAAAGAGCCTCTTTATAAAATATTACTTACAAGGACTTAATTGATGATTTTTGTAAAGAAAAAGTGTAGAAAGAAAGCTATCCAAATAAAAAAAAAATTTCAAATTGAATAACTTTCTTCAGAGGAAGTTAGCTTTTATTTTTCTTTTCATGCATCATCTATGCATTTTATTTATACATATTTTTCACATCTTTCACAGCTTTCATCTAGACCAGAAGTTCTCAAACTATGCTATAAGAACTCCATTCAGGTAGACTGAGAAAATGGTATTTTTTTTTCATAAAATGGTCTCATTTAAAGCACTTTACAATAGTTAGCTAATGGTACACACAGTATTTAGAAAGATTATTAAGTGGTCCCACCGAGACCCTCAGCAACTGTCAAGTAGTTTGTGAAGAAAAGTTACTACAAAAAACAATCAAGGTACCTCAGTTTATTTCCAATTACTTATAATATAGGAGGAGGGTGAAGGAAAAAAAATGAAAAATGGGAGGGCCGGAAGAGTGAATGTTCTTTTTCTTGGCTGGGTCCCCAGGGGGAGCCCAAAAATGAAGCTGAGCACCGGGCCTCACTAACTCTAAATCTGCCACTGTCTAGTAGATGTACACAACACAGAAGGAAGGAAGGTGGATAGATAGATCTGGCTAAATATTTAGTTGAAATAATTGGCCAGATCAGCTTCCTACAGCATTTCTCAGACCTGCATTTGGATGATATAAGGGTATGTCTACACTTGCACCCTCTTTTGAGAGAGGGATGCAAATGAAGACATTTGAA